GACCAACATAAGAATTTTCACCCTAAATTGTAATCTGAACAAGTAAGAAACATCCACTTTTGTTCTGACCAACTAAGGATTGCAGTAAATCGCGCTGATTAAATCTAACGATCGCTCATCATATCACCTCAAACTGTGCAAATTATACTTTGTTGTCAAATTGTTAATGTTAACAACATCAGCATTGCGTGGCATTTAATGCCCTTCCGATATTTATCCTGGTTTTCGTATGGGCCGGTTGGCTGCAGTCTCTTTTTCCAAACTCTCATTCCAAAGTGTTTTGTGTTTTACAACGGGTGAATCTCCAGTTGTCACTGGTGATTGCCGTCTGAACCTTTCTGGATCCGCCATCAAATTAATAAGTTTAATTATATCAAGTGCTAAGGAAAGGCTATAAATCTCCACCTCCAGCATCCTCACTCGCAATATAGCCTACTAGCCGAGACTCCTTCTTAATGTGTACAGATGTGACGTAATGACGCAAAGACATGCTCGAATTTCCCACGGAAATCCACCAGTACCACTGGAATTAAAAACATTATTACAAGCTTACCGTTTTGAATCGAGCTAAGGCAAGCAGATAGTTTTGAACACTGGCTGGTTATGTACTTGCTCAAAAATGTATTTGGGATAATTTTTAACCCAAAAAAGTTACGGACTGCAGCTTTAAAGGTTGTGAAAGATGTGATGCACAGCCCAACTCCAAGGTCTTGATTCATTAACCAAAATCTTTTATGCAAAGGGACTTCCTAAATCAGGGTCAGAAGTGAACCAAGTGACTTCCTATATTATAAATGCATCCGATATTTCAAATGTGCAACTGTCAAACTTTAAACATTGATTAAATTCAAATGTACTGTGAAGGTATATGCAGTATAAAGAGAGCTGTATTTAATCTAACAGGGCCATTCAGCTCTATTCTGTCCTCATATTGCACAGACATTTTGATAGCCTATTCAATCTCAGACAGAGATTTTATTTTTATTTTAATTGATTCTGCTTATATGCACTTCTTAAAGGCCCACTCAAGTTTTTCTCAGGGACGGAAGTGTGATTACAGGAAGTATAGTAAAGCGTCCCTTGCATGGTTTAAACCCACAACTGAGATATTTCAGGTTCTACCACCCCTTTAAAAGCCATATCTTTGACTGTGGTGTCTATCCCTGTGAAGGTTACGAAACCAGTTTGCAAGGATTTTTTCAAAACTCTGGAGTTTATGGAACTGAAAATGCAGGTTGCTAAAGATAATAATTATTAATCCAAATAAAGATAAAAGCTGAATTGCTGCAGTAAGAACTACTATTCCATTGTAGAACTATTAAATATCCATCTATAATGAACATTATAATCATCTCTTTGCTGTTTTACAGTAGATATGTGCCATAAATGGATACTAATTCCTCCTTTGAACAGGATGTTGTTTTGGGTGAAAAGCTGGTTAATGTAAATGCTGAAATCGTTCCAGGTTCACATGTGGATAATAATACATTAAACACAACCAAAAACGACCACAAAAATTGATAGTTACATTGATTTTTGTGGACCAAAATAATAAAAATTGATTTTGGAGTATATACAATTCTAACAACATATAGACTAAAAGTTTAAACATAAGTTTATGGCTTAATTGGCCATGAGACACACTAGACATATAGGCCAAAGTGCATATGGCAAAACGTGACTTTTTCCATCTATAGCATGCCATAAATATATAACTTCAACCCTGAACTATTTTTTTATGAGTGTTTTGATGGCATCCAATTAAACATTTTATTTTTGTCTGTGCATTTTTAGTTTTTCCATTGAGGTGCAATGTATTCCAAATCATCAAACTAGCCCTGGAAAGGACACAGCAGTCCTCACCCTCACACATTTCTGGCTAGGAGACGTCCCAGTGGGGCTTGCTGTTGGTTGTCTGATGATAAAAGCAGTCATACCTGTCCTCTGCTGTCAGGATATCAAGGGAATCTTAACAGAAATCTTGATTGGCGTCCATAATTATGTGTTGTTTCCGTGTTAGTGTGGGGTAGGGTGACAGCCGTTAGTTGTATTGTACCAGTAAAGATACAGGTAAGATGTGTTTCAGTAAATATCATGCAAACACACACACACACACGCACACGCACACGCACACACACACACACACACACACACACACACACACACACACACACACACACACACACACACACACACACACACACACACACACACACACACACACACACACACACACACACACACACACACACACACACACACACACACACACACACACACACACACACACACACACACACTCCCCCTTTGACTTTGAAGCTGTCGAGCCACATGCTCTTGTTGGTTAGACTCATATTCACATGCATGACAGAGCAGTACCTCCACCTTTTCCAACAGTACTGTAATCTTTTAGGTGGTTGACACTGGTGAACTTGTGCTCCATATAATGTTCTCTCCATATTATCAGATTGGCCTACTCTGTATTATTATGTGGATCATGAGACACGCTAGAGCACAAAGATTTTGAGAACAGTGAGCTTAACCATAAACCTCTGGGAAAATATTTAACTAGTATAACAAATTTTGGTCATTAATTGTGAAATTAATTACTATAAGGGGAGGATTTCCTAAATGTTTCTACTTCTAAAAGAAAAAGTGCACTAAATGTTAACAGCCATTGAAGTAACATTATTTTTATTTATTTATTTAAAAAAAGAAATCATGTAACAGCTTGAGGAGAGGAGCCTTCTAATTGCAGAATTTACAAATTTAAATATATACCTGTATATGTATATATATATACACACATACAATTGCTATTTTTAGACTTTCTACTACATCTTATCACATTATTCAGTGATAGTAAAGAGAGGGCAAGTACTGCCTGAAATAATTTTTTTAAGAAATAGAATTAAGAATTGGACAAATAAACCATATTAATCCACAACAACCCGGGTTCAGTTGAGTGAATATTGAAATAAGAACATTCCACTACAAATAGTGTGATTTTATTTTGTTGTTGTACGAATTTTACGAGGTGGCTAATTCGCACTAATTCATACGACCTTACTCGTACAAATTCGTACGATTTTAGCTAATTCGTACATATTTTACGAGTTACCAAATTCGTATGAATTCGTACGAATGACCTACCCCTGACCCCGCCCCTAAACCTACCCATCACGTGGGTTTAGACAAATCGTACAAATTCGTACGAGTGAGGTCGTATGAATTAGTACGAATTAGCCACCTTTTAATCACTCGTACGAATTCGTACGAATTGGCTTTATGCACAGCTTCACTACTTCCTGAACTTCAGCCAGCCCTTTGTTTCCTGTCTGTCATTATTGGACAAACTGATTAATTCAGGTGTGCCTGGCCTCAGTAACAATAATCAGGCACACCTGGACTAATCAGTTTGTCCAATAATGACAGACAGGAAACAAAGGGCTGGCTGAAGTTCAGGAAGTAGTGAAGCTGTGCATAAAGCCTATTGGTCGTGAGATAGCATTGCATTTATCACTGATATGAAGTCAGTTAAAGCCTTTATTTAGCCCCATCAGTGTTTCACAGGTAATTGGGCAAGCATTGTTGTGTGATCATGTGAGACCTTCAGAGAAGTATCGGCCATGCATTCTCCACATTCCTGCGGAATGAGATGCAGAGGAATGACAAGCGTCTGAAAGTGGAGGACTTGATATTGACTATTGAGGATTAGGTTATATTAGATCAACAGATTACCATCAGTTTGGCTCACTATAGGTACTTTGTTTTCATTGTCTGTTTACATGTACAGGTTGAATCGCATTAAAGAGCACATTACTGTATTGATTATTCTTTTAGAGATGTTTGTGACGTGATTGTTTTTATCATTGTCATCTCACATTAACTGCCTGGTTTCCTATGGGGCAAACTGAATGTATTGTTTTATCTCATCCAGTTTTTCTTTTCTAAGCAAAATTCTGTGGAATCTCAGACTAAACATGAACTGAACCAGTCCTTTTTGCCATAGAGAGATATTTGTGCTTGTGCTAGGCCTACTCTATAACCAGAGGGTCAGCATGTGCAGGTATTTTATTTATTTTTTTTTTTTAAAGAAAAGGGAAAGTGTACATTAATTAACATTCTTAAATGTAAATGTACCCAAATTAGCCCGAAGGCTAGTTTTCATTGGTAGTCCCTTTGCCAGATGTTATTAGGCTCTAAACTAGAAAAAAGAGTTAAACATTACAACACTACAACAGTCATGAAACTAGAACTTATAAACACCTCTGTATTCTCAACATCTTATAATGTCATAAAACCAGCAAACAGCTCCATTTAATGATGCATTAGCAATGTTTCCATCTCTTCCTTATAACAGTCTTGGCAAATTACTGTAAATGACACTGTTTAATGCTATCCGGTTAAGAATTCATGAGAGAGAATTTTAAAGACAATACGACTCAAATAAAGAAGCTCATACAAGCTTAATTCATGAATGTGATTATCTTAGCAATGAATTAATGATACTAAACATAAACAAAAATGAGACACTATTAGGCTTCGTGTGTTAGCCTTTTCTAAGGCTACAATGTTCGCTTTGGCACTGATATTGTAGCTTTTTTGTGCGCACATTGACTGGACCGACATGAAAAACTAACTGTATCTTCATACATTCTAGTGAGCAGCCCAAGTTATTGACACACTTTCTGAAGCATGTTTGCTGATTATGGTCTCATGTGTGAAGCTAAAATGCTAATTTAAGAGTGTCTACTTGAAATGTTCAATGTTTAGTAAGTTTTGGGTTACCCCAAATCCTAGGAAGTAATAATACAAACCTATTAATATATATGTGTGAAAGAATGTGACATGACGGGAAATGGGGAAGACTGATCAAGAGAGAAAGAAAAAAAGAGAATAGAAATTTTAAACTATGAATATGCTTTCCTTCTTCCCAGCACTCCTCCTCCCCCGTCTCTGGCACTCCCTCAAGGCCGTGTTATTGTTCCTCCCTATCAATGTCATTTCCATAGCGAGTGCTGAAAGAGAGTGGATAAATTGAGGCAGGTGAGAGTGGACACGAGACACAGAGAAGGAGCTCGACAGGCATCGGCACAGCCCACCTGCGTTCAGCTCCACTTTTAACAGACTCCTAAAAAGAGGACATTGCATTATCAAGAGGATTGCTGACAGCTCCAGAGCTGATAATGCATTTGTGTCCTTAGGGAGGCGAAGTGATGAGAAGATAAAAGAGGAATCACTGGAACAGGGATAACACTAAAGCTCAAGTCATCAGAACAGGTAAGAACATGTGCAAAGTTTGTCAGCCACATGTGGCGGTGCTTCAGCTGATACAGAGAGGGGCAGCCGTTTGGAAATGGAAGCATAAAGCCAATACCCAAAGAGACCTTAACTTTAACTGCCTATTGTGTGATTCTAATCTCTGGAGTACTAATAATCTAGCAATATCTGAAAGCAAACTCCAGATCGGATTGAGAATAAAGTATGGCTGGTATTTCAAATTTGAAGAGTTTTAGAGGAAGTTGGATTGAAAATAATATAGGGTGCATGACTAAAGTTCATTAACTGATAGTTAAACTGTAGTTTAGTTACTGCAAGTCAAAGTGGAGAACTGTTATCAGAGGTCTAATAAAACTTGTACAGTGTACAGTGCATGCATAACAATACACAAAAAATCTGATAATTATAAAACCAGACTATATATATATATATATATATATATATATATATATATATATATATATATATATATATATATATAAACACAGTATATGCGTGCGATTTGAAAATCAGATTAGAAATTAAATCTAAAAAATGTACATTAAAATAATCAAATTGTTTTAAATACTACAAGTGAATTTAGCTGTCACAATTATTAATTTATTAGCATTTTTAAAGATTAATTAAAAATTATTGCGAAATGGCAAAGGTAATCTAAATATAAAAATAGGGGAAATGTACATGAACAATTAAATATCCGATATTGCCAAATAAAGATACATGTTAAAAAAAAAAACTGATATGGTATCAATATAGTTTGAATATTTTATATATATATATATATATATATACTATTTAGTTTACGGTTTGTGTCTGTTTAAGGTACAATGATGACAAGATAAAAAAATGCATTTGAGATTTAGTTTTGCTTTAGCTTTTTTAGCTTTGCTGTATAAACAAAGACATGCACACAAGACGTGGACATTGAATAAACTGACAGAATGCTAATGAAGCCATTTATGTAAATAAAATCTGGAAGACCAAAATCTAGGCGTATAAATAGGGGTTCACTTAAACTGTTTATGACCTTTCCCTGATAAAAGGACATAATCTGGACATTAGCTTGCAATGTTAACTAACTGCAGCTTTGTCCTTGGGCTGCAGCCTAGACATAAAATCAAATTAGTGGAGCTACTTTCAAACCCCTCCTTATCTTTCCTAATGGCTGGTGTTATCAAACAGAGGGTCTGTCGATGTGAGGGTGTCATCTGAAAGTTCAAACATCACACACAGACGGAGAATCAGGTCAAGAACATTGTCAACCCTTTCTGTGTTTTGCCCGGGGAATAATGGAGGCGGTTGAGTTAATGAGTAACGATGAACTCGTGCACTAATGACGGTCAAACAGTTATAGGTTGAGGTGTAGATCGTGAAAGAAGATAGAAAGGACTGGGAGCGCAGGTGCTCAGAGCCGAGGGGGTTTTTCACAGTGCTGAGAGACTGGCTGCCTGGGCACCGGCCTGTTCTCCAGGAATGCCAAAGCCACACCAATATAATGGAGAACAAACAGGAGCTTTGTGCAGTGCAGGGATGGAGAAAGAAACACACACACACACATGCACGGGACTGCGCTGAAGGGCTTGTGAACAGGCCATCTGCTCTCAACCAAACCCCTGCCTGAACCTGTGCAGGAACAAAACCACTTAAAAGAGAGGCTAGATTAGATGCACATGTTATTTAGCTCAGGATGGGCTCTGAGAAATACTTCTGTGTATTATACAATGTAGTGAGCTGTAGTCACCTTGTTGATAAAATTCTTCTCATCTTCTAATGCCAGGCCCAGTGGAGCGATGACTTTTAGAGAGCCTTAGTGCGCTGAAAGGGTTTCTGAAGGACAGTGCTGCTGACGTTGGCAGAAACAAGGACAACAAAGCAGTCTGTGTCTTACCAACATTGTAAGCATGGGTATTTCAAGTGGTCTTGACCTTTACTTAACGTATGTACACCCTTAAAAATAGATCATAATTAGAACACTTTTTTACAGCTTAATGCCACAGAACTTTATAAACATTTCATTCTTCAGAAAGCCAAGCACTTTTGTAATAAAATGTAAAAAACCTAATTTAGTGACAAAATATTCTTGATTCTTGAACTAAAAAAATATTCTCTGTTCTTCAGAAAATCGCCTGGTGCTTTAAAAGAACCCACAAAACAATATGTTGATCTGAAGAACCTATAAAATGTAACATTAAGAACGTTTTAACCTCCAAAGAAGTATACAGTGACTAAAAAACAAATTTGAAGAATGTTTTAATAACCTTTTATTGTATATATCTTCAGAAAACACCATGTACTGGTTTATCAACCAAGAAACCATTATAAAAATCTGGGAAAAAAAGCAAAGGAAATCAGGACAGGTAATCTCCTAAAATTTGTATAACAGTTCAAAAAACCCAATTAAAAGGAAGAACCACTGAAGAACCTTTATTTTTGTGAGCGTATATGGTATAAAACAAGGTAATGCAGGTGGGCAGCAAAACAATGCGCTACTATTTATAACAGTGTATGCACAGTAACTAGCCCTCGAGTAGAACTTTACTTTGTAGAACTGGTGACCAACTCAAAGTCACAGTTAATTCGGTTAAAGGGCAAAGAGTCAGACAAAGGCATGATGTTTACTTTGAACCGTCTTCTTGCTCAGGCCTGTTCTGTGTACCCTTTCTGTTTGCACAGTCATGTCCATACAAATATATTCTCAGTGTTGTCCATACACAAACCATCATAAATCACCTGCTGGTAAATGTTTATTTCATAAGCTGTGACCTAGTTTTGCTCTAAAGCCTATACAATGAACCTAGAGGTGACTTTTAAATGTTTGTCTCGCCTGTTCTAGTGAATCTGCACAAGGAAGAAGGTGGAAGACCATACTCCGGTGAGATGGAGCCGAGCCCAGTGGTGTGGCACACCCAGGGGGTCCTGCTGGAAACTGACCTGGAGAAGGTGAGCTCTCATCCCGAGTGCTCCATCTGCTTCAACACCTATGACAATGTCTTCAAAACGCCAAAACAGCTGGACTGCACTCACACCTTCTGCCTTGAGTGCCTTTCCCGCATCATGGCTACCTCCTTGGACCCTCAAAACTCTAAAATCTCCTGTCCCTTCTGCCGCCACCCCACTACTATCCCAAAAAGGGGGCCTCCAGCTTTGACCACCAGCCAGGAGGTGCTGTGTCGCCTGCCCGCCAACCAGCAGCAGGAAGAGCCCGTATGGCTGGACGGGGAGATGTTGTGCTACCAGCGGCCAAAAGACATGCCAGGCCTGCCAGCGTTCTGCATCTGCGTCGATATTGGGGCCAGTGGGCAAAGTGGCATATCTTCTTCATCCCAAACTCGACCACGACTTGGGCTTCTGGAACGGTTGATGGACTGGAAGCGTTTGCTGCTCTTTATATTCCTCATGTTGTTGCTGCTGGGGATCGTTTTGTGGCCCTTGCAGTGCATCGTCACGACGGGCTCCGTGCGGTGTTCGTCCCATAACCTGCAGATGCCTACTACTACAGCTTCTACTGCCACACTCACATTAGTAACATAAGTGAGACAGACATGTCTAGATTGATGTCGGACTTGCAAAACCAGGTTGATTGGTGTCCGTTTACCTCCATACGTCCTTGCCAAGCCTGTTGGGTGCTAAAGGAGTTACAACAAACAGCAATGCTGCAGTAAAGACTGAGGAACTGCATCAGTATCATTATTATATCTTATAGAACATGTGAACGAGTGGCAAAGCTTAGCCAGTGCATGACAAAACTGACTGATGGCTAAATGTCTGCCTACATTGATATTTTTTTTTAAAAACAACAGGAAAAAGAGAGTAAAGAAAAAAGGTCTGTTGTCAGTGGTGTAGCCTGTAGCGATACATGAAGCACTGCTCACACAGAAGTCACTTTCAAACCAAGCAAGCAGCTTTCTATTTCTATTCTATTACGTGACCAACATGAACACGAGTGAAATCTGCATGAGGAAATCTTTCGCCCTCACAGAAAAACTCCCATTCGCACGGATTTCTATTGAAAGACTGGATTTTGCCCACAAATCTTCAACAAGCGACGGAAAATGTGAACTTAATCCAAAGAAAAGGAAACTGAATATTTTCTACTTGTACATTTGTATATTTTATTTCATTGTATTCCATCCATGGAATGTATTTTGTTTAAAAAATGAAAAAATAACTGTAGCTGCAAACGGCACAAGGAAGTTCAAGAAATGGTGTCATGGAATGTTTTTCAAAGTTAATAGGTGCAATATACATGATATCACTGATAACACTGACAAAAGAAAGAAAAAGCAAACAGATTCACGTGGCCCTAATTTATCACTTCCTGCTCTGGGACGGTTAAACGAACACGCCTCAAAGAATAACCGTTTGAAACCTAAGCCCTACAGCGACGTGTCCTGTGAACACAGTCACACCCACACCCGTGTAAACTGCTCCACCGTGTTTGTGTTTTGTAGGGATGAATTATTAGCTTCCTTCTTCCAGGTGCTTTTATGAGAAACGAAATGTTATTATTCATTAATAAACCCTAAAGAGAGAAGGAAATTATAAAGAGGAAAGGAAATAATATATGGGCCAGTAGCTGTTTGTAAGGTGAAATGAGTCCGAGACAACTAGTTGAAAGTTCCCAGTGTATGCTTTATTATTCAATAACTAATCCTGTATTCTCATTTGAGATGCAAGACAATACATCAGCTGTATTTTCCAGGGCAAAAGGCATTTTAGGCTGAACCAGTGCAAGAGGGAACACAGTCTTTACCACACAAGGACAGTCAGCACAACACGATTCAGATCAAACCTACTGATCACCAACTGAGATTAAAAAAACAACAACAACAACAACAACCCACCAACATAGTATTCAAGTAAATTTAACTTCAAAATTGTTATAAAGCGAGCAGAGAGTTTTATAACTGTTGATGTTATGTATAATAATAATAATAATAATAAATGTTAACAAATCATTCTAAAACAATATGCTAAACAGCTTTGAATATTTCCATCACTGTATTACCAAACAAGTGAAATGTATCATTTACAACAAATAATTGACCAAAAAAATATAACGCAAAACACTACACTGATGTCAAATCAACAGATATTCATTATATATACCTCCGAACAAAAGGACATTCTGGCAGCCATGGACACTATACCTTTCAGCAGTTCAAGTCTTAATATGTTAAAAAATAAAACAACTCTTAACAGCAAATGAACAGCTTCCAAGCGTTCAGATGCCAGTAGCACATTGCTCTCACATGATCAGGTGCATAAATCACATACAATTCATTCAATCAGTCAGTCATTCCAAGGACAATGATTATCATATGCAGTGACATTGCTTTTACTCCCCAGAAGGTCTAACAAACTGGTTCTCTAGTAAAAAACCCAAACATTTTATCCTTCCAAGTGCAAAAAAAAAGCAGACCCTGGCCTCCCTCAAACACGTATGGCATCTCTACAGCTCATGACATCACAGATCCCCTCATGTAACCTTTCACAGTCAGACGCTGTGATTAATCACATACATCATGTCCTGCTTTATCTAAGCCAACATGCACACTGGCATTTTTATGTTTTTAGAAGAAGTCTCTTATGCTCACCAATGCTGCATTTATATAATCAAATGTGAGATATTCTTACAATTTAAATAACTCTTTTCTATTTGAACATATTTTAAAATGTAATTTATTTCTTGTGATGTCAAAGCTGAGTTTTCAGCATCACTACTCCAGTCTTCAGTGTCACATGATCCTTCAGAAATAACTGCTCAAGAAACATTATTATTATTAATATCATCCATGTTGAAAACGTTTGTGCTGTTGTGGAAACTCATCCTTGCTGAATAAGAGTATTCATTTCTTTAAAATAAAAAAATAATTAAACGGAGCAATTCCAATAGGGTCCTTGCACCATTGGTGCTCGTAACCTAATAAAAAAAATCTTACTGACCTTAAAATTTTGAACGGTACTGTGTATATATAACATCTTATGACATCACTGCTGACCTCACCCAATAATAGCCACGTCTGGATTACAGCCATCTTTTAAATTACTTTTTTCGTCCTACACAAATCTATTCTTTAATCTTAGCTGAGGGCCATCTGGCCTGCCTCATTTTTAGCTGAAGTCTCCACCGAAATCCAGTTTACGTCAACGGCTCGGCCTGATGTGATCTTTAGTAATATCACGCTTTTCATTTTACGTTATTTCATTCAAAGGCCTCCTCAGTGCAATCACAACCCACTGTGAAGTAAAGAGCTTTATCGGGCTATTTATAACACCGAAATACACACATACCCTGTTTATATGTGATAAAAGAGCTTAATGTGTCTTCTCTGAGGAAAATGTGGAAAAAAAATAATAAGAGAAATGCATTATATTCAAAAATGCCAGGCCTAGATTTCATGATCACATTCACAAATATCACAACAAAAGATAAAACTGCTCTAAAGGAATCATAGTTGCAAATAAAACAATTTTTAACAAACAAACAAACAAAACAAAACTAATCTAATAAAGGCTCACCTGATGCATTCAGAACAAGAAAGTCAACGCATAGAAGGAGGAGCCCGCTGATGAAGAGGCAGCCTGATTGGTTGATAAGCCTTTGATTGACAGTAGCACGTGTCTCCCTCTGACTGTTCATTAGCCTGGAGGTAATGCTCAATAAAAACAGCTTTAAAGCAGAAGCTTTCACAAATATGATGTACAGGCTGCTAATTGGCACATACTGTATAGATTCAACCACACTGTACCAAATCAGTCCATTTAAAACACCTACTTACATAGCGTATCCAATTCATTGGTCGAACTTTGACCAATCACCTCTCATATCCTCTGAAAAGAAAAGAGGGATTCTTTAGGCCAGACGGTGTAGTTCTCTTCTTCTTACATCACCGTGCCGCGAGTATCACTCAGCAGAGCGCAAATGACCACTGCTTGTGAGAAACTGAGAGATATATATCAGAGTTCTTTGGTTACAGTAGACGACATCCAGTAGACAAAGCAAGGTCTGGAAACAGCCGTAGACAGCATGGAAAGAGCGTAGCTTCATCCAAAGTTATGTCACTGAGTGTAAATATTCATTTTCAAATTTATTTCACACATAATCAAACCATCATGTAGCTTAGTGCAGTGTAGGCTTGTTAGACTAGAAGGGGGGAGCGAAAGCACCAAGTCACACGTCCTTTGCCGGAACAATTTCGGCTGCTAATCAGGCACTTGGTTTTGGAGTGTGAGTTTCTCAGACGTAGTCAGTCAGGAAATGAAGAGAGGAGCTGTTGGAGATGTCGTGGAATCTCCAGCCAAGCGGCTGACGGTGTCACCTCAGCGTAGGCGCCGCTTGTCCCCCCCCCAGTACCGTTCCATGATCAGGTGCTTCTACACAGCACCTCTGCTGGAACTGCAATGCAAAAGACCAGAACGTTTAGTGATGCATTGTTTTAGCAGTTGTGTTACTTTCACACTGGTGTATCTACAGTACATTGGTTGCTATAGTAATGATGTAGGCGTCAGCAGGATGTCGAATGACTTTCTTCTACAAAGGCTGAGAGAGAGCCAAGCTGTCAGTGTAGAAAGTGAAAAAGGAAAAATAGACATTTTATTGACACATCCCTACTTTAAATATTTTGGTCCCCCTTTATCTAGAGTAAAATGTGCCACATTCTGAAAGACAAAAAAAATATTTGTGTAATGTAACATAACACTATTCATATTTAGAGAATTTTTTTTTTTTTTAACTGAAACAAACCACATATGGATGTGACTTGGGTCGGTTTGTATTGTTAACTCTACAAATAAACCGATTTCAGTCAGATATGTCTACATTTGGATTTTGGCTGTCAGTGTGAACAAAGTCATAGATAACTTTAATATAATACATCATTCCTAATCCTATGAATTATGTGATTTAGAAGACCAATGTGAAAATCTATTAAATAAATACTTATTGAAATACCAACAGTCATCGGTCATAAAAAGTAAATCAACATACACTACCGTTCAGAAGTCGGTAAGATTTTTTTTTAAAGTCTCTTATGCTCACCAAAAACAAAACAAAAATACAGTAAAAACATGAATAATGTGAAAAATTATTACAATTTAAAATAACTGTTTTCTATTTGAACATATTTTAAAATGTAATGTAATCCTGTGATGGCAAAGCTGAATTTTCAGCATGTCACATGATCATTTAGAAATCATTCTAATATGTCGATTTGGTGCTTAAGAATTTTTTTTAAATTATATATATTTTTGCGGAACCCATGATATATTTTAATCAATCAAAGTTTGAAAGAACAGCATTTATATTAAATAGAAATCTTAAAAAAACACAAGAAATGATTATTGTTATTTTTAATAAAATGTGTTGTTTTACTGTTATTTTATTATATTATTATTATTATTTAGATTTCATGTTATATATTTATTCATTTATACAGTAGGTATTTAGAAAGCATACTAAGTACAGTTGCTAACCTTTGAAAATATCAGTTGCTGTGCATATTCTTTGAAGTATGGTGTTATTTTCAAAGCCATTTGGCAAACATTGCCATTCTGTAAGATTATACTTTTTATTCTGGTGGGCTGCAACAAAGACACAATTCCCACCCCCACTGGTTCCTTACTGTCTTTCTCCTACTCGTCTCTCTACTTCAACAGCCTTGATGCAGGTGTGTGCATTCATATCTGTGTGTGTGTGTGTGTGTGTTCACACATAAGCATGGCTGCAGCAATGTGTAACACTGTGAGAGCGAGGGTGGAAAAACATACTCCCAGAGTC